AACCAAGTGAAAGACCTCTACAATAAAAACCACAGAATTCTATAAAAGGAAATGAAAGAGGGTATCAGAAAATAGAAAGATTTACCATTTCTGGGCAGGTAGACCCAATATAGTCAAAAGGGCCATACTCCCAAAACTGTTACATCAATTTAACGCAGTCCCAATTAGAATACCAATAGCGTTGCTCATAGAACTGGAGAAAGCAATCCTAAAATTCACAACCAAAAGGGACCTAGTATAGCAAAAGTGTTTCTGGTCAACAAAGGCAAGGCACTGGGCATCTTAATCTTGAACTTCAAGTTATACTAAACGAAGCTACAAGGATGAAAACAGCATGTTATTGGCAAAACAAACACACTTGTGGATCAACAGAACAGAATAGAGGATGCAGAAACAAGTCCAGGCACATTCAGCTCCTGATCTTGGACAAAAGTGCCAAAATCATATACCCCAGGAAAAATAACCTCTTTAACAAATGGTGCTAGGAAAACTGGCTTTCCACATGCCGGAAGGTTAAACCTAGACCCATATCTCTCACCATGCACTGAACTAAAATAATACTGGAGCAAAGATCTAAATATCAAAACAGAAACACTTAATCTGCTAAAAGACAAAATAAAATGGGCAAATCTCTTGAAGACACAGGCATAGGCAAAGACTATATGAACAGAATACCAGTATCACAAGAAATAATACCAAGAATCAACAAACAGGATCACATCAAATTAATAAGTTTCTGCGCAGCAAAGGAAGCCACCGAGTGATGAGACAACCTGCAGAATGGGGAAAAACATTTCCAGCTACTTCCCAGACAAAAGGTTAATATTTATAACAGTGATGGTGAACCTTTTAGAGCTTACATTGATGCAAACAGCTTCGCCACCACCTATCTATATAGTATTATATAAAAAAACTCCAAAAAATTAGACTCCCCCAAATTTAAAAAGATTCAAAAAAAAAAAAACCATAGTCACCTGAAACAGACATTTCTCAGATGAAGAAGTATAAATGGCTAATAAACACATTAAAAAATGTTCCACATCACTGGCCTTTTGAGAAATGCAAATTAAAACAGCACTTAGATTCATCTCACTCCAAAAAAGAATGACTATCTTCAAGAAATCAAGCAATAACAAATCCTACTGAGGCCAGGGTTGGGGAATGATGGGATTCTTCTATATTGTTTGTGGTAGTGAAAATGGAAATCATTATGCAGATTCCTCAAAAAACTAAAGTTACAAAATTCATTTAAACACTATGGTTTGAATGTGTCACTAAAATTCATGTGTTGGAAGCTGGATCCCCAATGCCAATGAATAGGGAGCAGTTAAGAGATCATTAGGTCATTAAGAAGGATTATTCCCTTGCTGGGCATGGTGGCACACGCGTGTAATCCCAGCACTTGGGAAGCTGAGGCAGGAGGATTGCTGAGTTCAAGACCAGCCCGTGCTACATAGTGAGTTCCAGGTCAGTCTCAACTACATAGTGAGACCCTGTCTCAAACAAACAAACAAACAAAAAATTTAACTGACAGGGGCTGGGGATTTAGCTCAGTGGTTCTGCTGTCTGCCTCACAAGAGCAAGGACCCAAGTTTGATCCCCAGTACCAAAAAATAAATAAATTGACAAGAACTGTCAATAAATAATAAAGCTTCTAGAAGACAATAAGTGAGAATAGCTTTCTGACCATCGGATAAGCTATGACTTCTCACAGATCACAATTACACCAACCATTGTGAATAAACTGTAATAGCACATAAGATCCTAATGATATAATGGACAATGTGAAATAGGAAGAAAGGGGCTATAGGTATAGGGAAAGTGGGAAGGGTAGGGGAAATCTAGTAAGGGAAAAGAAAACAATATGAGAAAACGAAAAAATGGAAATGGAGTGACTGTGAAGGGGGAGGGGAGGAGGGGTGAAGGGAGGGCAGGGATAAGGGGAAAAAATGAGAACCAAGACCCGTCATGTAAAGGTACAAGATCCCAATAATAAATGTAATGGTACTGTATACCTAAAATGTACCAATAAACTCAATGAGGAACAAAAAACAAAACAATTACACCAACCATAAAGAAAAGTCATATTATACTTTATTAAAATCAAGAACGTCTATCAAAATACACCATTAATAATATAAAAGGCCGGGCCTGATAGTAGAGGCCTGTAATTCTAGTTACTCAGAAGGCTGAAGCAGTATGATTACTTGCAAGTTTGAAGACAGCCCTGGCAACTTGGCAAGACCCTGTCTCAAAATAAGAAACAAGGACTGGGGCTGGGGATTTGGCTCAGGGGTTCTGCCGCCTGCCTCACAAGCACAAGGTTCTGAGTTCGATCCTCAGTACCAGGAAAAAAAAAACAAGGGCAGGGGAGGTGCCTCATTATGGAAAACCCTACTTTGATCCCCAGTGTGGGGGTAATGGATGAAACATGAAAAGGGCCGAGCACTGTTGCCCATGCTTGTAATCCCAGCACTCAAGAGGGCGAGGCGGATGGTCCTGAGCTAGAAGTGAGCACAGCTGAGGTTGTGTTGCAAATTTAAGGCCAGTGTGAGCTGCACAAGTGAGATCATGTCTTAAAAACAAGCAAACAAACAGCAACAAAAGAGTATGAAAAGGTAAGCAGTTGCTGGCAATAATTATCTTTGCTTAGTAAAACATTTACAGTAACATTATTTCTGAAATGGAGAGACCCAAGTTAAAGCCTAAAAGATCTACTGTTGCATAATACATGTACAATTAAACTAAGTAACCAAGAAACTTTGTCAAAACAAAGCCAGATTTTCTTCCAAAAATGTAAATACAATCTTAGTTTAGCAAGAAAATTCCTCAGAAAAGCTCATTAGACAGAAACATGGTTATCGGAGCACTGCTAGTTTTCTTTCTAAAAATTCAATGAATTCACTGAGGAATTTTGCATGACAAAACCTTGGGATGACATAATGGACAGTCTAGAGAGGGCCACTATCTACACTTCTCCATGCCCTGTACACCACAAGGTTCAATAAACGAGAAGTGGCTGCAACAAGAAATTGGAGTCCAGATGTTCCACTGGTAGTTTAAAATACAGCACAAGACTTGCTGGGGGGCAGAGAGGCAGATTCAGGTGTGGTTGTATGCACAGACTAGATGGTAATCCAACTCACTCTCACCCAATGGAAGTTTCCCAAGAATGGAGGCTAAGAGCCACTCACCCAATGGAAGTTTCCCAAGAATGGAGGCTAAGAGCCAAAAAGAATGGGCAGCTTTGGGCTGGGGATTTAGCTCAATGGTTCTGCCACCTGCTTCACAAGCACAAGGTCCCGAGTTTGATCCCCTCCAAAAAAAAAGAAAGAGAAAGGGCTGCATGAATGAAAAGAATGAAGGGGGAAATATTAAAACTACAGTTGAGCAAGAAGTAAAGGTAAGTACTTGTATAAGAAGAAAAACTAAGGAAAAGGAGAGCCTGGATAGCAGATTGTCATGGACATCAGAGTGGAAGCAAGTTCCCCAAAATAACAAAGAAAGTACATAACCACAGACAACAGAAGCTGAGAATGGCAACTCTGCAAGAACAGCAGGCAGAAATGGAAGCACATACTCCTGATCAAAAGCAGATACTCCTCATACTGATGTTCAGGTTGCCTTAAGGACTAAATCAGGGATAGCTACTTATTAATCATTTCCTGTATATTAGGTATTATGCTGAGCATTTATTAATGTTAACTCACAGCAATTTCTAAAGTAAACTCAAAAGCAAGTTAGGGAGACATGAAGTGTGCCTGACAGTGTCTGATTAAGGAAGCTTAAGCTCAACCTACTGTACTCTATCTGAAAAGACTATGCTAACAGTCACCAAACAGTCCTTACTGACTGATAAAAGGATTGTAGAGTGAGAGAGAAGTGCAGCCTTCTATAGTACTGTCTAGGCAGGGAGATAAAGAATTTGAGAGAAAGTTTAACAGGGGAAAAGGATGCATCATTCTATATTTTAATGGTACTACCATTAATAAAATCCAACTGTCCTCACACTAATTCCATGCCCAAATAAATTTCAGATTGTAATTTGCTCCTGGTGGAGTCTCCTTTAGTCTTTCGTGAATCACTTTTCTAAGCCTAGTCATTTCTAGGAGTGCTAATAAATCATACTTTTAATCATATCAACTGAATCACCATAATGTAAACTGTACATACAATGATTATGGGAACTTCTAGGATTCAGTCTGGAGCAGAAAGCTGGACTCCTCTATCTACTCAAACCACAACAGTGTTAATAAATAATCAGCGGACAGTGAGTCAGTCACCTTGTGGTCCCACAGCCAAGGATCTCTCTGGGTACCCTCGTACTGCACCAAGTGAATCCCTATGTTGCTAAAGCAGCCATCTCAAAGAAAGCCAGTATTCTTCCTCTCTTATTTCCAAAGAGGATGCGCATTCATTGTCTACAGACCTTAAACAACTTTCTGCCTACAGCCTATTTGGAAAAAGACTGCAAAGGGGTCTATGCATACAGAAACAACTCGCTTAAGATAAGTACAAAGCACTCCTGGGAAGAACTACCTTAGCAAACATTTTAGCACAGAAGAAATAGTAAAGAATGGATTAATCTTGCACAAGACAGAGATGAGGTGAAAAGTACTAGTATTCTCAGTTCCAGAAGGCGTAAGGCCAAAGAACACACAGGAAGAAAACTGGGACTTCGAGTGGCCCTGTCTGAGGTAGCCGGACAGGTCGGCTCTCCTCTTCTATAACCAAGGAAACTGCATCAGATACTCCCTAAGGAAGGTCCCTTTCAACTCTGATCATCTTGACCACTGGCTCCTTCAGTGATTGATGGGTACAGAAACAAACTTACCAAGAAAACCATATTGTTCAAATAATATAGGACATTTCTTCACACACAGAATCTATTTTACCTTATTACGATAAAACCTGATCCAGCCAAATAAAAACATTAGAACAGGCAAGGGAAAGAACTCAATCTGCTACAGCAATACATAAAAACCAAAGGGAAGGCTTACATGTGTCTTTCGGATCTGAGTGTATCCCGGATGGACCATGCAACCTGGTATGGGGAGGCTTGCTCGGGGTCTTCCAGCTCCTCTCCACTCTCTTCAGACCAGTCTAACCCTGGAGCAGAGAGAGAATATTGCCAAGTTAAGAAAAATCTACTTGTCTTTATAATTTAGGTTAAAAAGGTATCTGAAATACATAAGCCAACACTTACAGCAACCACTGCCACAGTGTGAATAAATGCCTCCCGATATGTCTAATTTCTGTTTTTACAAAGAGACTTTAAACTCAGGTTTGGAAATATGTCATTATACAAAAAAGGCTCTACTATAAATTCTAAGGATAAACTTTTTGTCAGACACTTCACTAAGAAAGTAAAAACACAAGCAAAAAAAGAGAGTGCAGGGCAATAAAAGGTAAAATTTTTCCAAATATTAAATCATCACACAATAAAACAATGTCAGAAAAATACACTCAAGAAAGTGCAAAAAGGCTAGGTGTGGTGACACACACCTGTAATCCCAGCACTTGGGAGGCTGAGGCAGGAGGATCACTGTGAGTTTGAGACCAGCCTGGGCTACCCAGTGAGACCCTGTCTCAAAAAACCAAAAAGAAAGAAAGTGCAAAAAGGTTAGGTGTGGTGGCACACGCCCGTAATCCCAACACTCTGGGAGGCTGAGGCAGGAGGATTGCAGGCTCTATCGCAGCCTGGGCAACTCAGCAACTTAGTGAGATCCTGTCTCAAAATAAAAGTGGGGTGTGTGCCTAGTACAAAAAGAAGCCCATAGACTGAAAGTGAAAAGATAGAAAACAATTCTCCATGTGACAGGAGCCCCCGCAAAAAACAGGAGTAGCAATCTTATTTGCAGACAAAGTAAATTTCAAACCAAAACTGAATCTAGTATTATTGATGTAGGACAATACTGTATCATACCTCTATGAATGTAAAATATCTAGTACCTGCTTTATGATACATAGTAGGGACCATGCTTTATCAGAGCTACATTTAATGATATTACTCTAGAATGTTCTCTTTCCAGATGATGATTAAGAGGCTAATAGAAAAAATGGCGCCACGTACCACAGCAGCAAGAGAACTTTGCTGTTGTCTGGATATTAATCTTTTCTTTGTTTTTTTTTTTAATGGAATGTGCTGAATGTCTATAATTTTGTTCAAATGACTGCAGAACCTGGAAAAGCTGTTGCTGCTATCGATGCATAACATACTATTATTAGTCTATATATATCTATATCTATAGATATCTACAGATATAGATATATATCTATATCTATATATATATGCACACACACACACACACACATATAAACTGAATTTTGGGAAATTTTAACGGTGCTGCCAACTTTGGAAAAAGTCATCCCAATTTACTGTGTTGACTTGGCATTGTACAGAAATGGACAACCATATTGGTCTAGAAATGTTAATTTATTTTTATTTTTATTTTTTTCCCTGTGTACAGGGGTAACACATTGTACTAAATATGTAAGGTCATATCTACGTGGGTTTGATTACAGAAACTAAGAAAGTATTCTCTAAATAATGAAAAAAAAATAAGACTATAAGAGCGAGAAGCAATTTAAATATGTTCAGGGACCATTTTCATCTCCAGAATTAAGGATTATTTTGATGTTACATCATTGCCTTTTCTCTTTTACTTTCCTTTTTAGTTTTATTTTAGGATTCCCTATTTTTAATGTTCATACAGAGATTTCTTTAACTGAAATACCGAATAGTTTCTTTGGTGTGAAAAACTATAATAGTACACAGGATCCTAATGAGACAATTAATAATGTGAAATAGGAAGTAAAGGACTAAAGGTGTAAGGAAAGTGGGAAGGGTGGGGGAAAGGTAATAAGGGAGAGGAAAAAAA